CTGTCTCTACTACTGTTGTTGATTCTATTGTGGCTAAGAGGGTCTATAGAAAGTGTCTCGTTTCCTTGTCCCATAGAGTTACTCTTGTTGACTTGGTAGAGCTTGATATGTTATATATTCATGTAATCTTGGGTATGGATTGGCTGCACTCATTTTATGCTTTTATTGATTGTAGAACTCGTGTAGTCAAGTTTCAATTCCCGAATGAGCCTATCCTAGAGTGGAAGGGGGAAAATTATATGCCTAAGGGTCAGTTTGTCTCTTATCTTAAAGTGAGAAAGATGATTTCTAAGGGTTTCTTTTACCATCTAGTAAGGGTGAGGGTTGTAGATTGTGGAACCCCTTCTCTCGTGTCGGTCCCCATTGTAAATGAGTTTTTGGAAGTGTTCTCAGATGACTTACCCGGTATTCATCCTGAGCGGGAAATAGACTTTGGTATTGACATTCTCTTAGATACGCAACCTATCGCTATTCCTCCTTACCGTATGGCTCCGGCAGAACTTAAGGAGTTAAAAGAACAATTAAAAGATTTGTTGGATAAGGGTTTGATTCCACCGAGTATCTCTCAATGGGGTGCTCTAGTTTTGGCTGTTAGAAAGAAGGATGGGTCTCTTCATATGTGTATTGATTATAAACAGTTGAACAAGGTTACCATTAAGAACAAGTATCCTCTTCCAAAGATAGATGATTTATTTGAAAAACTTCAATGGGCAAGTTATTTCTCTAAGATTGATCTCCGATTGGGTTATCACTAATTGAGGGTGAAAGATGATGACATTCCGAAGATGGCTTTTCGAACTCGGTATAGTCATTATCAATTTTTGGTAATGTCATTTGGGTTGACTAATGCTCCGGCGGCATTTATGGACTTGATTAATAGGGTGTTTAGACAATACCTTGACATGTTTGTGATTGTAATCATCGATGATACTTTTATCTATTCAAGGAGTAAGGATGATCATATTGATCATTTGAGGATCGTGTTGCAAATTCTGAAGGACCAACAACTTTTTGCAAAGTTTAGCAAATGTGAATTTTGGTTGAGGTCTGTAGCTTTCCTTGGTCATATTATTTCGAGTAAGGGTATTGATATGGATCCTAAGAAGATGGATGCGGTCAAGAGTTGGCCTAGACCTCTAAATCCTTCAGATATTAGGAGTTTCTTGGGTTTAGCCAGTTACTATTGAAGGTTTTTTTAGGGTTTCTCTTCAATTGCCTCTCCTTTGCGGTGTTGACTCAAAAGAAATCTAAGTTCATATGGACCGAAGCGTGTGAGAAGAGTTTCCAAGAGTTGAAAGATAGACTTACTTTCGCTCTGGTGTTGACCTTATCAGAAGGAGCGGATGGTTGTGTGGTTTATTGTGATGCCTCAAGAATTTCGCTAGGGCGTGTGCTTATGCAAAATGGGAAACTTATTGTCATGCCTCAATGCAACTTAAAATACTGCCACGACCTGAGCCTACACCCCGAACGTAACACGGCGTACAAGACTCCGAAGAGACTCATACAAGCCTCATAGCATTCATAACATAAGACATAAGAAATAGTGCGGAATTTAAAACTTTTCTTTAAATCCATACAATCGAAAAACATCATTCAAAACAACGGAAGTCTAGACATAGTCTCACATGGCCATCTAATACAACTTGAAGACTCAAAGTAATAGGGTCACAGCCCTTACAATATAAAGTCTAAAAGTATCTAATATGTGAAAGGAATGAAACATCAACATAAGACTTGACATCGGATCCATGAGGACATACCACAAAATTGATAAATAGTCAACTAAAGCTTGAACTAGAAGAAATCGCCTCAAATGCCGGAACCTACACTTTGTACTAAAAATAGAAGTAATGTGTGTTAGCACACAAAAATGTACTAAGTATGATAGCCATGCAAAAATCATGCTTAAAAAGGACATTTTTGGTTCAAAACCATGCATTATGCTAATTTTGAGAAACATCATGAACTTTAGTATAAAAGGCATAAGATACAATTATATTCAACATAAAGCCATTACAACACATTAGAACCTTCACCTTAAGTAACCCTAAGCTATACTTGGGCAATGTAAGAATCGCATCCCATACTACTATTCCTACTAAGTACCACTTTGAGGCCACCATAGACGAACTTACCATTCTTCCTTCTCAACTTTAGACAATACTCATGCATAAGGAACATTCACATTTCATAAGTCATGAAAAGGAAATTAACTCATAATAACAATTCCAAGTAAAGAATTCATCACCTCATTAAGACTTTAAGTCAATAGTCTCATTGACTTCATTATAAGCACATTCATTTCCTTTAACATTATGACACTGAGAAACACACCATAGCCCTCTCAAAGCCTACTCATGCAATGCATAGATGGCATCCCATACTACCACCCACACTTCATAGAACTTTTTGAGTAACCATAGTACCTAACACATATCCTTGACCATGAACATAATAACAAAACGGGAAACACCATGACTACTCTCAAAGCCTACTTGTGCAATGCATGGATGAAGTCCCATACCCCCACCCACACTAAGTAGTGCATTCTTGAGAAGACATAGTTCATTAACTTTCTTTGTGGGGGTAAGACTTGACCAGCATAGACCATGTGAGCAAATCATGGAATCCCGATGTTACCCACACCGAATAAGGGATTCCTACTTGCCTAAGGTAGGACCGTTAACATTTAGCTTAGATGGATCCACTAGCTAATAACCTATTTGGGCACATAGTTATGGGATAGGAAGATTGCTTCTAGATATCCCGTCTCAACTCACGTAAGGGCATCCATCTCAAGAGATTGCTACTAGAAACCCCGCCTCAACTCACGTAAGAGCTTCCATCTCATATCACTATCCACTCGGTGCTTAGCATTATTCCCCACGGAGTACTTGACATTCATTACTTAAGTTCATTGTTATGAGATAAGAGATTGTTACTAGATACCCCGCCTCAATTCATGGATGAGTATCCATCTCAAACCCAACATTCATTCATTAGATAGCTCATAGATTCAAAGATGAGAATAGCCTTTCCACTAAGAATCCCCATATTGTGAGAAAGTCCTTTCGCGACATGTCATTATAATTCATTAGTGTACAATTGAGATTAGTTTTTCAATCAACACATCATCATTAACATAATCATAGAAAGTTCATTCATTATTCATTCATGAGTGTGTGTATGTGAGAATAACCTTTCAACAACAACACCATTACATTTTAGTCATGATCACATTACTTTCATTGAAATCACAAAGCATTAGGTTTATGCATCAACATTCATAAATTTGCCCTCCAAGGTTATGAATAAATCTCAACCCAAACATCTAGAATACTACATTATAAAAGGTAAATATCATGATTCAATAACTCAATCAATATAGACATAATCAGTTTAACATGCTTCCTTAATCAGTCAACCCAAATCACAATTTCACAATTTAGTATTTTGGGGGAATCATGGGTTCATGGGCGAATTTCATCATAAAATAACATCAATTCCTTAATTAATTCATAATTCATCTTAAAACAATCATTGAAAACGTTTTGAATTTGAACCCATGAATTAGATTGAAACCCTAACTTTTGGGGGAATTTGGAAACTTTGAAATCATCTTTTGAAGGGGATCCTTGGATGGAGACTAACCAAGGATGAAGACTACCATACCTTGATTGAATAAAATCCACGAAATTTAAGATAAAGTATGAAATCTTGAGTTCTAAACCTTGACTTCTTCTTCTCCAATGGTGGTTTCTAGAGAGAGAATATTTGGAGAGGAGGTAGTTTCTATTTTGGAGTACTGGGAATAATAGATTGTAAAAGGGTGTTTAATACTTTTAAAATCCTTAAATAACTCTAATTAATCAAAATAAACCGACCCCTAAATAATCTAACCACCCTAGAAATTTACCACTTTGCCCCCAACTTGGCCGAATTTGGGCAGATTTCAGTGGTTGCCTACACCCCTAGACCTACGGACCGTAGGTGGGCTCACGCCCCATCTTGCAGGTCCGTGGCTTGGGTCATCAAGTCACCATTTGGGGACCTTGACCTACGTACCACCCCCACGAGGCGTGGATGGACCTACGAGGCATAGGTCCCATCTGTAGGTCCTTGAATTTTTGACAGCTTTTGGTTTTTTTGGCAACTTTTAGGGTTAGACTTTAGGTTCCTCCTCAAGGACCCTTGGTTGGTCCTCGGGGAGTTTACCTTGATTTTTAACCCCTCAACCTATGCTTGGGAACGCATTTTACAACATAAAACCTCACAACTACTCAACAACACACTCGTAAGGCTCTAGTTTCACCTACTTATTTTCTGAGGAGTTACATTATCTCCCTCTTACGAACATTCGTCCTCGAATGGCACTTTAAATACTTTAGGGAAATAAAGACTCAAGACTAGAATCCCATCATGCATGAAACATCATAAGCAATGCACAAAACTAGGAGGAAACATCAACTCCATCTCAAACATACTCCATGCAACACAAGGAAGTAGGAACTACATCTACAAACCCATTATGCATGAAACTTCAAAATTTCTCATTTTATTGAAGGAATTACCTTCTCCAACTCAAAACATGTTCATCATAACATCATTAAGCACATTATGAAATTACTCTTAAAAGCACATTTAGGCTTGTTCAACAATTCACCTCATGAAGCATATAGACAACTCATACTAAATGCACATCAACATGAGGAATAAAAATCATGCAAACTCATTTTCTCATTAAACATAAATTCATCAAGAACATGTATAACATAGGGAGACCATGGAAACACATAAGTCATACATGACTCCACAACATAAAATAAGCTACAAGGAACTCTTGGTCTCAAGCTTGAATAGGAATAAAAGGAAGAGATAAGGATATCGTAACTCTCAACAACCTTACCTTCTAAAAATACCATCTCCCCCTTAGGAGTAAACCCATACTAAGGCTAACATGAAAATAGCATAAGGACCTTATTAAAACATTTACAACTTTAAGAAACAATCAACATACCGATCCCTTCATCCGGAAAGGCTCCTTTGTCCTCTCTAGACCGGAGTGCATAGAAATGACCATGCTTTGGAGCATTAGGATCCAAGACACTAAGAGAAGCTTGGTTGGCCTCTCTCCCTTTTGCCATGAATGTTGGACAATCTCTCATATTATGACCTTTCTTCCCATACCCAAAGCAACCATCCATGCCGGCAAGGCACTTACCCAAATGTGGATTCCCACACTTGGCACATATAGATCTCTCAAAAGAAGAACTGCCTCCATTTCCTCCTTGAGAATAAGGGTTAGACGCCCTATCCTTGTTGACCATTGGGGAATCTTGGTTAGAGGACCTCATTTGGGACCTTGGTTGTTCTTGTTCATCGGACCTAGCTCTTTTCATCTCCCTATTGTTGCCTAGGAGTTTCTCACTCTCCATTTGTTGAGCATACACCATAAAATGGGATATATTCATGTTATCATGAAGCATAGCCGAACAACATTCTTTTCTCACCAAACTAGACATACCCGTTACAAATTTACTCATCTCATCTCTAGGCTCTGCCACCATGGATGGAGCATACTTGGAACATTCGGTAACTTTAGAGAATATTCTTCAACACTCATACCTCCTTGAAGAAGGTTAATAAATACTTCTCTTTTGGCCTCCTTCTTCTCACGGGGAAAGAACCTATCAAGGAATGCTTTCTTGAATAACTCCCAATTTGTGGGACCCGCTTTTACCGGCCTATTCCTCTTCTATTGAGTATACCATACTTGAGATACTCCCTTCAATTGATAAGCATCTAGCTCCGCTTTCTCTATTGGAGGCACCCCCATAGTATCAATTATCATGTAGACCTCTTCCACAAACTCTTGAGGGTCTTTTCCCACTTCGGAACCAAAGAACATAGGAGGGTTCATCCTTGTAAAATCCCTCAATCTAGAAGTTGTGGTGTTCACATGAGTCTCAACACCCCTATTGTCTTGGGCCGTCATAGATTGGGCTTGAGTTGTCATGGCTCAAGATTGAGCCGTCATGGCTTGAGTCATCATTTGGATAGTGGTTCTAAATTCTTATAGGGTCACATTTTCAATCGAAGCTTGATTGCCTTAAGGAACTTGAGGAACTTGGGGAGAAACTCCCTCATTCACATTCTCTTCTTCCATCCTTCTTGTGTTCGCCCTTCTTGTATTCATATCCTATAAACACAAGAGAAGGGTTAGGAAAAGGACTTTTTATAAAGCTAAACTTTATGGCATGAGTTTAAGAACAATGAAAGAAGTCTAGTTTCCTAACATTTTATAGCCTCTCATTCATAAATGTGACGCACTTCACACTATGAACAAGACTCTACTAGACGTGACTTGTAATACATCAATCCTAAAAATTATTCCAACATCTTGTTCTCTGATACCATGTTTATCATGACCCGAGCCTACACCCCGAACGTAACACAGCGTACAAGACTCCGAAGAGCCTCATACAAGCCTCATAACATTTATAACATAAGACGTAAGAAATAGTTAAAATGACATTTTTGGTTGAAAACCATGCATTATGCCAATTTTGAGAAACATCATGAACTTTAGTATAAAAGGCATAAGATACAAGTATATTCAACATAAAGCCATTACAACACATTAGAACCTTCACCTTAAGTAACCCTAAGCTATACTTGTGCAATGTAAGAATAGCATCCCATACTACTATTCCTACTAAGTACCACTTTGAGGCCACCATAGACGAACTTACCATTCTTCCTTCTCAACTTTAGACAATACTCATGCATAAGGAACATTCACATTACATAAATCATGACAAGGAAAGTAACTCATACTAACAATTCCAAGTAAAGCATTCATCACCTCATTAAGCCTTTAAGTTAGCATTCTCATTAACTTCATTATAAGCACATTCATTTCCTTTAACATTATGACATTGAGAAACATACTATAGCCCTCTCAAAGCCTACTCGTGCAATGCATGGATGTCATCCCATACTACCACCCACACTTCATAGAACTTCTTGAGTAACCATATTACCTAACTCATGTCCTTGACCATTATCATTATAACATAAAGGAACACACCATGACTACTCTCAAAGCCTACTTGTGCAATGCCTGGATGAAGTCCCATACCCCCACCCACACTAAGTAGTGCATTCTTGAGAAGCCATAATTCATTAACTTTCTTTGTGGGGGGTAAGCCTTAAGCCGATATAGACCATGTGTGCAAATAATGGAATCCCGATGTTACCCACACTGAATAAGGGATTCCTACTTGCCTAAGGTAGGACCGTTAACATTTATCTTAGGTGGATCCACTAGCTAATAACGTATGTGGGTACATAGTTATGGGATAGAGATATTGCTACTAGATACCTGACTCAACTCACGTGAGGGTATCCATCTCATGATATTGCTACTAGAAACCCCGCCTCAACTCACGTGAGTGCTTTCATTTCATATCACTATCCACTCGGTGCTTAGCATTATTCCCCATGGATTACTTGACATTCATTACTTAAGTTCATTGTTATAAGATGACTAATTGTTACTAGATACCCCACCTTAACTCATGGATGAGTATCCATCTCAAACCCAATATTCATTCATTAGATAGCTCATAGATTCAAAGTTGAGAAGAGCCTTTCAACTAAGAATCCCCATATTGTGAGAAAGTCTTTTCACAACATGTCATTATCATTCATTAGTTTACAATTGTGAATAGCCTTTTAATCAACACATCATCATTAACATAATATTAGAAACTTCATTCATAAGTGTATGTCTATGTGAGAATAACCTTTCAACAACAACACCATTACATTTTATTCATGATCATACTACTTTCATTGAAATCACAAAGCATTAGATTTATGCATCAATATTCATAAATTTTCCCTCCATGTCTATGAATCAATCTAAACCCAAACATCTAGAATATTACATTAGATAAGGAAAATATCATGATTCAATAACTCAATCAATATACACATAATCAATTTAACATGTTTCCTTAACCAATCAACCCAAATCACAATTTCACAATTTAGTATTTTGGGGGAATCATGGGTTCATGGGTGAATTTCATCATAAAAAAATATTATTTCCTCAATTCAATCATAATTCATCTTAAAACAATCATTGAAAATGTTTTGAAGTTGAACCCATGACTTAGATTGAAACCCTAACTTTTGGGGGATTTTTGGAAACTTTGAAATATCTTTTGAAGGGGATCCTTGGATGGAGACTAACCAAGGATGAAGACTACTATACCTTGATTGAAGAAACTACACGAAATTTAAGAGAAAAGATGAAATCTTGAGCTCCAAACCTTGACTTCTTCTCTAGTGGTGGTTTCTAGAGAGAGAATATTTGGAGAGGAGGAAGTTTATATTTTGGAGTTTTGGTAATAATGGATTGTAAAAGGGTGTTTCGTACTTTAAAAAGACTTAAATAACTCTAATTAATCAAAATAAAGCGACCCCTAACTAATCTAACAACCCTAGGAATTTACCACGATTCTTCCAACTTGGTCGAATTTGGGCAGATTTTAGTGGTGACCTATGCCCCTAGACCTACGGACCGTAGGTGGGATCACGCCACGTCCTGCACGTCCATGGTTTGGGTCAGCAAGTCACCATTTGGGGCCCTTTACCTACGTACCACCTCCACGTGGCGTGGATGGACCTACAGGGTTTAGGTCCCATCCGTAGATCCTTGGATTTTTTACAGCTTTTGGATTTTTTGGCAGCTTTGTGGGTAAGACTTTATGGTCCTCCTAAAAGACCCTTGGTTGGTCCTTGGGGAGTCGTACCTTGATGTTTAACCCCTAAACCCAACCTAAGCTCGGTAACTCATTTTATAGCATAAAACCTCACTACTCAACAACACACTCGTAAGGCACTAGTTTCACCTACTCATTTTCCGAGGTGTTACATTATCTCCCCCTTATGAACATTGGTCCTCGAATGACACTTTAAACACTTTAGGGAAATAAATACTCAAGACTAGCTGCCCATAATGCATGAAACATCATAAACAATGCACAAAACTAGGAGGAATCATCAACTCCACCTCAAACATACTACATGAAACACAAGGAAGTAGGAACTACATTTACAAATTCATTACGCATGAAAATTCAACATTTCTCATTTCATTGAGGGAATTACATTCTCCAACTCAAAACATCCTCATCATAAGATCATTAATCACATTATGCAATTACTCTTAAAAGCACATTTAGGCATGTTCAACAATTCTCCTCATGAAGTATATACACAACTCATACTAAATGCACATCAACATGAGGGATAAAAATCATGCAAACTCATTTTCTCATTAAATATAAATTCATCAAGTATATGCATAAAATTGGGAGACCATGGAAACACATAAGTCACACATGACTCCACAACATAAAACAAGCTACAAGGAACTAATAGTCTCAAGCTTGAATAGGAATAGAAGGAAGAGATAAGGATATCGAAACTCTCAACAACCTTGCCTTCTAAACATACCATCTTCCCCTTATGAGTAAACCCATTCTAAGGTTAACATGAAACTAGCATAGGGACCTTATTAAAACAGTTACAACTTTAAGAAACTATCAACATACCGGTTCCTTCATCTGGAAGGGCTCTTTTGTCATCTCTGGACCAGAGTGCATAAAAACGGCCATGCTTTGGAGCATTAGGATCCGAGACACTAAGATAAGTTTGCTTGGCCTCTCTCCCTTTTTCCATGAGTGTTGGACAATCTCTCATTTTATGACCCTTCTTCCCACACCAAAAGCAACCATTTGTGTCGGCAAAGCACTTACCCAAATGTTGCTTCCCACACTTGGCACATATAGATCTCTCAAAAGAAGAACCGCCTCCATTTCCTCCTTCAGAATTAGGGTTAGACACCCTATCCTTGCTCACCATTGGGGAATCTTGGTTAGAGGACCTCTTTTTGGACCTTGGTTGTTTTTGTTCATCGGACCTAGCTCTTTTCATCTCCCTATTGTTGCGTAGGAGTTTCTCACTCTCCATTTGTTGAGCATACACCATAAGATGGGATATATCCATGTTGTCATCAATCATAGCCGAACGAAATTCTTTTCTCACCAAACTAGACACACCCATTACAAATCTACTCATCTCATTTCTAATCTCCGCCACCATGGATGGAGCATACTTGGACAATTCGGTAAACATTAGAGAATATTCTTCAACACTCATACCTCCTTGACTAAGGTTGATAAATTCTTCCACCTTGGGCCCCCTCTTCTCACGTGGCAAGAACCTATCATGGAATGCTTTCTTGAACACCTCCCAATTTATGGGACCCACTTCTATCGGCCTATTTCTCTTCCCTTGAGTATACCATACTTGAGCCACTCCCTTCAATTGATAAGTGGCTAGCTCTTCTTTCTCTATTGGAGTCACCCCCATAGCATCAATTATCTTGTAGACCTCTTCCACAAACTCTTGAGAGTCTACTCCCACTTTGGAACCAAAGAACATAAGAGGGTTCATCCTTGTAAATCCCTCAATCTAAAAGTTGTGGTGTTCA